ATCTGGGGGCAGCTGGATATCTTGCATCCACATTCCAGAGCCAGAGATCAATGAATGCCTGTGCTCATCTCTCTTGCTCCTTTTGTTACAGGGTCCTAGGTCCTAGTCCAGGGAAGAGTGCTACCCACAGTGGGCACTTACCACCACAATTAACCTTATCAGTAGCCCATACAGACATGTGTAGTGGTACATACTTGTAATTTCAGTGCTGGAGAAGCAAAAGAAGTAAGTCCTTGGGCTTGCTGACCACTAAGCCTAGTCTAATCAGTGAACTCCAGGTCAACAAAGAGACACTGTCTCAAAAATAAATCCAAGGTGGATGGCACCTTGGGAACTACACCAAGGTTTACTTCTGGCCCCCACATGCATGTGTATACATTTTCATAAATATCTGCATATGTGTCACTCCTACATATACTCCCCAGAAGCAGAAGTGACTTGAAAAGCTGTAGTGTGTCTCAGGCCACAAAATGAAGTGAGAGAGACTTCCCAATAAAATTAACGAACCCAGTATCAGAAAGTAAAAATAAAAACCTCATTTCGTGTGTGTGTGTGTGTGTGTGTGTGTGTGTGTGTGCACGCATGCATGAGTACACATATTGTATTGGCAGTGCTAGGTATGCAACTCTGGGCCTTACACAAGTTCGATAGCTACTCTACCCTCATGAGACAATCCCAAACCCTTATGTGTCCACCAAGAGCAACTTTTACTGTGGAGAGTTTGTGCTCTGCTAACAGCTGGACACATGCTTGCTAATACCAATTTTCCACTGCAAAAATAAAGATCACTAACTCATGGATAAAAATCACTTTCACTTATGTAATAACTAATAGGTCCCAAGACAGGGACCTCCAGTGATGGTGCTGCAGTGCCTTAATTCCTCACTGTGCTATCCTGCATTTATTCAGTTTTATCTTCTCTACATTCCACGGTATGCAGATCTTGCAGTCTGTAAGAGCTAACATGCTAATATTAAAGTGGTAATCAAGATGCCTCTAAATATTCATAGCAATAAATGCCTCCCTTGTGCCCCATGAATGCCAGGGCTGCAGTCTGAAGCATTTATTTAGTGCTGGAGAGGGACTTGGTTATTCCTGAGTTCCCTTGAACACAGTATTTTAATATTGTTGTTTTGCCTGAAAAATGATATCCCCCTGACCTTCCAGCATGGATGGCTCAGACAGATGGCTTTGACTCTTGGAAAAGGATGGCCTCAAGGCTGTGATGGGAATGGACATGACTATTGAGGGTGATTCTCTGCTCCTGCAAAGCCTGATGCCAAACCACTGCTACATGGCCTCGGCTTCAAGGTCAGGGTCAGATTTTTCTAAGCCATTAAAAATCGTGTGTGTGTGTGTGTGGTTGTGTATGTATGGTGTATGCATAGTGTATGCACACTGTGGGAGGGAGGAAAGAAAGAATGGTAATTTTTATCTGTGAATTACTGATCTTTTGTTTCCAGTAGAAGATTGATATTAGCAAGCATCCCTCTGGGCAACAAAGCACACACTCCATGGTAAAATTTGCCACTGACACTTGTGTAAAGGGCTGGGGATGTGGCTCAGGGATAGGAAGCAAGAGCTGGAATTTCATGGAGAGCAGTATCACATGTTTCAATAGCCAAACATTCTCTGCCTGTCACTAATGGTAGAAACAGAAACTAGAGCCACAGGCTGTGAATGGATCATCCGATAATGGCACTTTCCTCAAAGTCAGAGGACCTGAGTTCAAGACCTAGTATCCATGTGATGGAAGGTGAAAACCAATTCTGGCAAGCTGTCCTCTGACCTCCACGTGTGTGTCGTGGCACATACTCCCAACAAACAAATAAATATAAAAATTTAAACAAATAAAGCCTAACGAGATTCACTCTTATACTTAACAATTTTTCTTGCCTGACCTTTTATTTCATTATTTTTGTCACATATCCATAAAGCCATGGAGTATCAGAAAAATGTATCCTGGAACTGAGGGAATGTGGCCCATTAATAGATTAGAAACAGTGTATAAATCCCAAGTGAAGGCAGATAGACAAATCCCACCACCCATAGAACCTATTCAGTTTCAGGCATGACACAGATGTGCAAAGTCATTTACAAAGAGGTGATCAGAAAAAAAAATCAGTGAGCACCGATTTACATGACTATGGATATAGAAATTGTTCACACAATAGAATATTGTAAACCTATGAGAGTGAACAACACATGGAGCAAACAACCTTTAGGTATAAGATTAAGCAAACCTGAGTCATAGAAGAACAGGCTGGGTATGAGGCTAATGGTCAAAACTGAACAAAACCAGAGTTTTATTTAGAAATAGATATAGTGGGGATAAATTGTAAAGAAAATCAATATATTAATATTAGTAGTGATTAATATTTTCAGGATAGATGTTTACCTCTGGTAAGGAATGAGTGGGATGTAAGCATGGAGAAAGGATGTTGTAGACTGATTTACATCCCTGGTTCTGCCAGATCTATGTGCTGAAGCCCTGACCCTAACCTTGGTGTGTGGAACATCTGGAGGCCTTTAAGAGGCTGCCTGAATAAGCTGAGGTCATAGGCTACAGTAATGACCTCTCCATCACTGTAGCCAAAATATCTCACAGGCTATATTAAGAAAGAAAAGATCAATTTTGGCTCCTGTTTTCCATCTTCATAGCAGGGAATGAATGCTGTGGTGGCCCAGCTTATAGAAATAGAAACACATTGGCAGAGCTACTCACCTCAAAAAGGACCAGGAAGCAGAAAGTGAAGCCAGAACCAGGGGCTAGGGATGACCTTCAAGAGTCTCCACCTCCACCAGCAGGACCCCACTTCTTAAAGGTTACACAACATCCCCAATGGTGCCACCAGTTGGGAATCATGCATCCAAAACATGAGCCTGTGATGGACATTTCAGATTCAATCTGTAATATACAGGTAGGTCCTAACATAACAAGGCAGGTTTCTCATAAGAAAAGATTGGGCACAAACATGCAAAAGACAGCATGGGCCTACTATGGACAGTACCATCCCTATGCAGGTAGACCTGGACTTTAAATAATGAAGGTAGCTGAGAAAGCCAGGAGAAATAAGCAAATAAGTAGTGTTCCTCCATGGTCTCTGCTTCAGTTCCTGCCTTGACTTCCCTCAGTGATGGACTATAATCTGTAAGACAAATAAGTTCTCTCCTCCTCAAGTGTCTTTTAGAAACAGTGTTTACCACAGCATCAAAAGAGCTAACTAGAAAATGGGTTTTCTACAATTCTGAGTATAGTCTATATTTTCATTTGTGTAGTCTGATCATTTTATTGTTTTTTTTAAAAAACGTAAATGATGTACTTCACATATTTGCTTAGAGGTTTTTTCCTCGGTTTAAAAGATAAAATTATAGTTACTGTCTAAATATCTTTGGCATATTGATTAGCATTTGCTTGATTGGTTCAACGAATATAGCTCTTTGCACATCCAACAAAGGATGTAGTTCTATTAGATAATCCATCAATATGTCATCTTAAGAAAAAGAATGCTGGGCTTTATGGTCTTCAGTCAATAACAATTAGGAAAATGGATGTAAGCAGGCTTTTAAACCAAAATGGCTAGTCAGTGAGGATTGGAATGGAAGTATCTCTCCCTTTTCTTCCTCTACTGGATTTTTTTTTTGTATCACCCAGACCTCTCCTAATATACTAATGTATTTTGAACAGGTTGTCAATTTGGTAAGATCTAGACTCTCCTTGGAGACAAGCGTCTGGACATATACATGAGAGATTGTCTAGATTAGGTTCACTGGAATAGAAAGCCCCACCCTAAGTGTGGGCAGAACTATCCCCTGGACTGGCTGCACCCACTGATATGTGGGCATATGGGTTAGCAGAGGGAAGCTGAGGAGGGAAGCCATTGGAGCAAAGGGAAGAGAGGTCTGCAGAGCCTTTTCTCTAGTATGGATGGATGCTTCCTTCACTCCCCACCTGCTACTTCCCCAGAACTCCTGCAGACATTGTAAAAAAAAAAACCAACACACTGATCACAAGCAGTATAAGGCCCCTTCCTTTTAATGGGGAAAGGACAGAGTAGCAGGAGATGTGTGGTGAGGTCATGCTTCTTCTAATAGATGACTTTTCAGCTCATTCCAGTAGACAAAAACCGCAGTCCAGGTAGAGGAGCCAGCACATGCAAATTCTCAGAGCAGCAAGACAGCTCTGGTGTTCCAAGGGCAGGCACAGCCAGGAACTAGAGTCAGGTAAGGAGGGAGGAGGGCAGTGTAGGCCTTTCAGGGAGAGGACATGGGGAGCCATAGGCTGAGTTCAGATCCTGGTGTCTTATCAGTGCCATAGGAAACGATCACAGGTTCATGTAAGACTGAAGATGTAAGTGTCCTTCCACTGCTGGAGAATGGATGGGAAGAAAGGGAAGGTAGACCCAGGAGAACCTGGGCTCAAAGAGTTTACAGGAGGAAGGCACATGCTGAGGAGTGTTGCCTGCGGGTTGAACAGGAACGGGGTGGAGAGAAGGGTGGGAGGGAGTCGTGGCAGCAGGAGAGGGACTTTAGAGAACAGCTCTTCAGGACTGCTCATGCATTCAGTAGAGGGGACGGGTGAGGGCCAAGGAGCCTGGGGGAGGACTTCAGGGTCTTCTGCCACAAGCAGGTAGAGAATAGAGATGCCCTTTGTGCAGTTGGGGGAAGATCAAGGAAAGTGTGGAAGGGATGGGCAGGATCTATGATCAGAGTTAAGGGTCCAGAGGTCACATCAGGGCCACGAGTTCCGTTTTTCAATTCTGTCACTCTGGTCCTCAGTACTTAGAGTCAAAGAGTACTTAGAGTCAAAGAAAGCCCCCAGGAAGAACATCAACTTTTCTCTTCCCCTACTCTCATCTTCCCCTCCCCCCTCTCTCCCTCAAAATAAATCTCAACATCCCCCTCCTTCCTCTCCACTGACTACGCTGATGTAGAGCATCAGGGTATGGGCAAGGCAAAGCCAAGTGCTCTCCAGCTAACCCTTCCTGCTTGTCTTTCAGGATCATCCAGATGTGCTGACTGTGCAGCTGCAGCTGGAGAGCCGAGCACTGATCCTAAGTCTGGAAAGGAATGAGTAAGTCAAGTTCATTATTGTTTACAAAATGACCAGAGAAAGTTAGGACACTGTTATAATGTATGTTACCATCAGAATATATTTGATCTCACGAGCTTGCCCAAGTGTTACACTCTTCACCTTATGCTTTTATTTAAAATTTGGACCTTTAATGGAAGAAATAATACATTTCCAGCTAACAGTGCACTGTGTTTTGTTTTGTTTGCTTTTCTGAGAGCATGGGTATTGGCGCGTTTTGTGTATAGCTTCTCAGGAGAGAAATAGTGTGTCCTGAGAACTCCTGTTCCAGTCCCCTTTACCTCCACCCCACCCCACCCTACCCCACCCCACGCACACACAGGCCCTCCTACAAGTACCACACCTACAAAGGGCCTTTCTTATCTATTTAATTCTTTCTTTAGCTAATGAGGTCTTCCAGAGAGCAATCTGTGTTTAAAAGAATAGCTTTGTTTGCCAGGTACCACCTGGCTTAAAGCAGGAGAATTTTAAGCTCCTCTCTTCCTCACTCTTCGGTAAGATGGCGTGGGGATTGGGGAGCTGACAGAGATAGGAGAGAGGACATCACCCAGCGACATACATTCTCAGAGGCCAAAGCCAGTCTTCATGGCAACAAATCAGGCTGTTCATCATATCAGAGGTTGAGTTTGTGGCTAAGAAAGTCCCGTGGAAGAGACTGTCCTGATATTCAGCATCTAAGAACGCAAAAACACTTTAAATTGCTATATGTAAAATGGCACAGCCTGCTCCCGAGCATCTACAACCTGCCACTTTGTGTTTCATCTTACGTGTCTATCCTTCACCACTGAGTGGACCAAAGACTTGGAAAACAGTGAATACATGATATGTTTTAGCTTGTATCCTGATGACTTGAAAATAGAGGTTTGGGCACATGGATTGAATATGAGGGATTCTGAATAGAAAAATTATATTGCTTTTATGTATCTGACTTCAGAAAGTAAATATTTTAAGGATCTTTTTAGACATTGTAATTAGAGTGTTTGTGTGCACTTGTGTGTGCAAATGCATGCATGTGCACCTGTGCCTATCAATGTGTAAGCCAGAGGCCGACTTCCTCAATTGCTCTCTCCACTGTGCCTTTTGAGACAATAGTCTCTTACTGAGGCTGAAGCTAAACAACCAAGTTTTCCCTGGGAAAGCCTCCAGGATCCTCTTGTCTTTGTTTCCAAGTGCAAGAATTGTAGATGTTGGCTTTTATGTGGGTGCTGGGGAATCCTAATTTAAGTCATCTCATTTATATATCAAGAACTATAACCACTGAGAAATCTCAGCCCCTCTATTTTTGTTCATGGAAGAATATTGTGGTGAATGTGCTTTTTTTTTTCATTGCTGCATGTACATGGCTTTGAAAATATCTAGGTGATGTAGTTACAATGTAAAATATCCTCGTGTTTGAATACTTGGTTTTCAAGTGGTAACCCTGGTTTGGCAAGTTATGAAACCTTTTGAGGTAGGGCCACTCTGGGGAAGGCAGCTCACTGGGGGCAGACTGTGAGAGAGACTGTATAACCTCTCTCGCTTGTCCACTGTCCGCTTCCTGACGGTGGGTATAGGGCAACCAGCGGCCTCACACGCCTGCCGCCATGCCTTCTCCACCAAGACGGACTGTGCTCTCCAACTGTCAATCAGAGTAAACCTTCCCTGAAGATGCTTCTTGTCAAATATTTGGTCACAGTAATGAGAAAAAAAAGCTAGTATTCCAGATGTTCTCTGAAAGACGCAGGAAAACAAACAAAAATCTCATGAGGACACCCGTGGAGTCACGTGTTCTCTATGGGCTGTTATTTCCAACAGGGGCTTAGAAATGTCTGCATTGTGCATGCTCTGGGAATTTAGCTGTTGGAGGAACGTGCTGCCCAGCACAGGGGAGGCTGCAACCCTGAGTTTGCACATGGTCTTAGGGTTGCAGGTAGGAGAGTGGGAAAACCTTATGAAATCCTTTCTGTTTTTACTGCAAAGAGTCTATTCCAGAACAGGAAAGAGAACACTGCAGAGCGGGGGGGGGGGGGGGTGGTGAAACCAAGTGTGACAACAAAATAAGCCAACATGCAAACCCTGGGTGGCAGGGTGAGTGCAAAGATGGATTTTTGCCTTATAAGCATGGCTTTGCTCTAGTCTTTGAACAATCCCATGTACTACCATTTCACTGGACATCATTAATAACATGCCCTTCCTTATAAAATGCTGTCTTGGCCCCATCTGGTTCTCTGGGTTTGGAAAGTGGCTTAATTGTTCTGCTCATGTTCCCTCTGGAAGTAATTCACCCTCTGCTATTGGAGATAGCATAATGCAGGCTGACAACAGACAAAGGATAATTTGTGTGGAAAATCATCTCAAAGGTGCCCTAATTTATTCCTGTCCAACCCTTTAGACCTTTCCCAAGATAACCTCATAATCAGTAAAGTTAGAAACATGAAACTCTGTCTTTTCAATTACTTTCTTCCTAATCTATTTGTCAGCCCAAATGTTTAAAGTGTGCAGATTATGGGGCTGGAAAGATGGCTTAGAGGTTAAGAGCACTTGTGGCAGGACCTGGGTTCTGTTCCCAGCACCCATATGGCAGCTCCCTACTGTCTGTAACTGCAATCCCAGGGCATTCAGTGCTCTCTTCTATCCTCTGTGGGCTCTGCAATCCCAAGGCACACAGACATGCATGCAGTCAAAGCACCTATATACATAAAATGAAAATAAATCAATCTTTTTGAAAAGTATATGGATTGTTTGGGCATGGTGGTGCATATTGTAATCTCTGTACTCAGGAGTCTGAGACAGGAGATTCTCTATAAGTTTAAGGCCAGTATGGTCTGTATAGGGAATTTTTAGGCCAGTCCTGGCTAAAAAGAAAAAAACTTAATTAAAAACCTATAATAATAAAGTTAAAATTTAAATACATGATGATCAATGTCACTATAGATTTTTTTAGTCTATCCCTCTAGACATTGTAGTTTGATTGACTGATTACTAGTTGTAACAGGTTTTTTGTTTGTTTGTTTGCAGTGCTGGTAATCAAGTCCAGGGCCTTGTGTGCGCTAAGAAAACATTCCTCATTCAGGTCCATCCTCAGTCGCCACCTTTGCCAACTTTAAAGATCATGCTCTGTTAAAAGTAATGTTTTCATAATTAGAATGATCTGGTATTAATCTTTTAATGATGTTTTTGTCCAAATATTCGGGGTGACCTTTTTAGAAGAAGGTTACATGTCTATTAAAAATGAAGCAATGAATACCCCCAAAATGTACAATTTTGTGAGTAGAATAAAGATGTTATGATTCTCTTCATCCTGTCAGACACAAAGGTAATTAATCACGTACCTGATAATTAAATTTTAATTTCCATAGCCTTTGGCCCAGGAAATCCAATTTAGAAAGTTTAGTCAAATGAAGCTATTAGAAATAAGAACAGGTTATTTAAATATTTAACACCCAAAACAGTAGAGGGCCTGACCAATCAGATGGCTAGCCAGTTACAGCCTAGGAATTAGCCCTAGGTTCAAAGCCATTCACTGCTGAGTCTCTTCCTCAAAATTATATTGGAGGGAGATGATTAAAATGATAAAGAACTTTACTGTTGAAAAAGAAATTCTGCAATGTACCCCATGTAAATATCTTGCTAGGAAATAATATACATGGTGTTCTGGTTTTATTTTTAAATAACTGCATGCCATATAGTTCTGTATACAGGAATAAAAGAAGAATTTGTTGCTTTACAATAAGAAAATACTGCATTATAAATTAGGAAAGAACTCCACTTAAAAAGTTTCAAAACATAGGAATGTCTAAAATGAGGAAGGACAACACGTGTGCCAGTCATGGAAGGACATATAGTGCAGCACCAATTCTTTGAAGACCTTTGAATGCCCTCTAGCAACTTCCAGAAAGCAAAAATGGCCTGCCTATTGAGCATCAAACCCCTGGATATCCTGAAATCTGTTATAACTTTAAAAAAAGTGCTCAGCAATAAAAACTGAACTAAGAGTGGCCTTGGCCCCCTCAGTCACAAGAGCTGTCATCTAAAGCTGATGTTGGCAGCATCCCCTCATCCTCCTCAAACTCCTCCATGGTGAGGCAGTTCTTCATATAGCAGAGCCAGATTCTTACTAAAATACCCATTTCAGGGAATCTGTTTGAATTGCCTTCTTGCATCCCTAATTTGTGCAGAGATCTGCTGGTGGCTTAAAACACATGTTTGTGTAGCCATAATTGAATGTTTAAAAAAACTTTAAGATTCCCCCGAGCAGCATCTATCAGGACTTTGCTGTCTGCCTATGGGACAGCAGGGACTAGGTTTTAGCTGCTCTAACTCCCCTGCATCCCTATGGGTTCCCCAGCCATTCCTTAGTGTTTCAGAACTGCATCTTTGATCAAAATGCTTGATGGGACATGCTGGCCAGCTCAGACATCCATTTTGTTTTCCAATTTTGTGTTTTTTAAATTAAGAGCACTAGACCCCATTCAACACATCTCTCAGCCCCAGGGAGCCTTCAGTTTGCAAGCCCTGTTCCACCACTGATCAAAGGTGGTTGCTGTGGGAAATCCACAGAAAACTAAATTTATACTTGGGGACTCTCTGAGCGCAAAGAATGTCACTATTGATTTTTTATTCTGTCTGGAACAATTCCAGACATCTCCATGGAGCAATTTTAATTAGTACTTTGCTCCAGAGCCATAGCAGGAAGGGTGTTTAAACATTGTTCCATGGTGGGCATAAATATCTAGGAGGATGTTTGTTTTAATTTGTGGGATTATAATATAGTAACATTTCCCCCTTCCCTTTCTTCCTTCCCATACACTTCTCCCCACTCTTTTTTTATTTTAATTTTAAATAGCTTTTTTTACATGTCAATCCCAGTTCCCTCTCCCTCCCCTCCTCCCGCACCCCCCCACCATCCCCCCATCCTCCCACCCTATTGCCAATTCCTTCTGCATAGGGGATATCTAGAGTCTATCATTTCACTCAGGGTAAGGTCCAGGCACTTCCCTAAG